GTAGACAGCAATGTTCGAACAACGACAATCCATTTTTATCCTGTCCCCGTAATGGTCAAGTCTCTGCGCCGCAAAGCAGAACTGGTCGAACTGCTACAGCATATACTGGACCCTTCACAGATAACCGGATGTCGCAACGGCGCCACAGATGTCTCAAGTTGGCAAATGCCAACCGAGCCTTTTGTATGCGCGCCGACACTTCATCTGTGATGCGTCCTCCAGGTGCCTAAATAACAAAACTTGTCTACTTCCTCTACTACTTCCCCGGTCAGAATGAGGTTGGAGACTGAGCCGGCCCAATCTTGGAGCAGCATTTTACATTTTGAAGGTGCAGAACGCATACCGAACACGGCTACACTAGCACTCAAACTATCCAGAAAAGCTTGCAACTTACCTGGATCTTCACTTTGTAGCACAATGTTGTCTGTGTACTCTAAATCAGACAGTCTGCCACCTGGGAGTAAATCGATGCCACTATCCTCGCACGAGGATAGGGCTGTTTCCATTATCAAATCTATGACAAAGTTAAATAGAAATGGAGAGAGAGGGCAGCCCTGCCGAACACCACTTTTGTAGTGAACTCGGGTGAAAAAGTTCCGTAAGCCCGGACTTGACATCGGCTATTAGTCTAAAGGGATTGTATTATTGAAATCAACTTCTTGGATACAGGTTTCAGAGTTTAGAGCGGTCGACCGAGTCGAAAGCCGCTTACGGGTCGAGGAGGATGGAAATGGTGGGTCTACGAAAGGAGGGTCTGTGTTCTAGGATTTGGCGCAGAGTGAAAATGCGGTCGATGCAACCTCGACCAGGTCTAAAAGCAGCCTGGTTCTCACGTGTGCACTCTTCACGAGCGGCAGGCAATCGACGGAGTGTGATCACGGCGAGAAGTTTAGAGGCAATGTTGGATAAACTAATTCCCCTGTGATTTTCACAAGAGGACCTGTCGCCCATCTTGTAAATCGGTATGGTCACCGATTCACACCATTCAGTTGGAACCTGTTCCCTTTGCCACACTGAGCCTAGGAGTTTTGTTAACTCCAAAACCAAGACTGAACCTCTATCCTTAAAAACCGATGGGGACAGTCCATCGAGGCCGGAAGTCTTATATATTTTGAGAAAGCTTATTCCTCGGGAAGCCTCCATTTCCGATGGAGGACTCATATCAACTGGCAGTATTTGCACAGCTGAACCGGGTGTAGGGAGTTCGTGTGCTGACGATGACCAGCTGAATTAAACCCTAAATTGTTCTGCCCTACCGATCTAGACGTCGTTGCTTAGTATGAATCAATGTGCTGTCGGACTCCTTAATTAACCGCCCGCCCCCTCCCTCTTCCTCGATTAGGAGGTTGACGAGGCATCAGAATCTGCACTTTGTTCGGTGGTAAGCTACTTACAACACTATTTGGCAAATACCTTTGGAGACTCACAAATAACTTGCCTGATGGGATGTTATGGGTTGGAAGAAAGGCCAAAGGACGAGGTTGATCTTAGAAAACAGAGTTCAACAAAGGTTGGGATGTTTGAGCAGTGACCCACTTATCAGTGCCCACCCTGCTCGATGCAATGGACAGCGCGGTGCTGAGTATCCTGCGCGACGACCGATACAGTACGGTATTGCTTTTTGTTTATTTGTATTTATTGGAGCTTTACGAACGATTGCTGCTAGGGTGTAGATGCTTATTAACTACCGGCAAGGTAGATGAGAGTTGATAGTTTCTCCCTATTACTACTGTTCTGTAATGTTTTCTGGATGTCCTTGGTGAGGGTAGCATCCCGACAGAGCGAAAAATTTAGTCCCACGATGGAGCACTGCATTACTGATCAAGCAGAGCAAATATTTTGCATGGATAATTGATGGCCTACCTTCCAAGTCTCCACGAGTGGTGGGTGGTCCAGTGCCAGAGTATCACCGCCTTCGATCTTGGGGAAATTTTCGTCGCCAGGCTACACGATCAGGTGGTGAATATAAAGAAAGAAAGCAACCTTTAGAGCCACTGGCCAATGAATCAGATATAAATCGACATATGACAGTTGCAAATCCTTTAAGGTATTTTCACAGCACTTTCGGACAAGTTCCGGGCGAAAATATGTGCACCAAACCTGAAAAATGTGTACTTAATTCCAATGCAAGAACCTTTGAAGTGACGAATATATCTTCTCTTCGAAGGTTAAATTTCTTCATTCCTTCCTTTAAGGCCTCGCCGATCGCTTTCTCATTTCCGTAAACAAACGCACCGTCAATATGACGATAACCATTCTCCAATGCAGTTAGCACTGCCGTTTTTACTTTGTCTACAGGAGACTGGAACCGGAACATGAATAAAGAACCTTGGAACCTACGGTCCACGTTCCCAAACCCAAAACGGGAATTCTGTGTCCATCAGAAAACTCAATAGTTTCCATTTTTCAGAGTAGCTAAAAAACAGAGAAGTGCATACCGAATGAGCGATACTGTTTTGCGTTGTACTATACAGTTGTTTGGATGCAAGTATATCTATCACATACACAACGTAGAAATAGGAGCTGATACATCTTTAGGTCAACAGGTAGCCAAAGATCCTGGGTGCCATACACCAAGGATAGGAACAGTGCAGTGGCGGCAAAACGAAAGCGAAAACGAAAAACGGTAATACGAGCTCACGCTGGCACAGTACGCGAAATATCAGCCGAAAAGATATTACCGCTACGTCAGGTGCAAGGGAGGGCTCAAGGAGGTGGGGTCTCTGATAGTAGGGTGGACCAAATCGCTACTGGACAGCATGACCTTCACACCTCTGGAACAGTTACCCTGACTTACAGGTAGGGATGGGACAGGTGCGTAGGGCACTTGGTGAGCTCAATGCTACCAAATTCGCTGGTCCAGATGGCATCCACCCAGCCATAGTACAACAGTGGAGGTGCTAGGGGGCCTACTTTGCTACCTGTACAATAAGACCCAAGAGCAGGACAGGTTACCACAGGACTGGAAAACTGTCATATATATATATATATATATATATATATAATGTCTAAGTTCAGACTATGTTAAACAAATCACGGTACAATGATCTCCTCAGAAA